CACAAGAGCGTTGCCATATGTATGTATTTACAAAAAAAAAGTATCCTATCAGTCAATGTAGCTTTAATAGCTAGCTCTGCTTAGTTTGAAACTAGATGGCGTTGTGTGTATGAAGTCCGAAAATATTATATTATTATTGTTTTATTTAAGTTGCGTGACATTGCATTGACATTGCTGGTTCGAGCAAGTCGTTCATAACTAAATCTTTGTAGGTTATAGGTTATTTGAAGGACCTTTAAAGGCCAATTGTATCAGTATAGTACAAACTATTCTCTAATGATTTAAGACTACATACCACGAAAATATATTTCTGCTCATCCAGTTCTAATTACAAATTGCCGCAATGAAAGTGGCGTTAGAAATTGAACCAATTATAACATAAAACGCCTTAGTACCAATCAAAGTCATAAAAAAATAAAAAATTACAATTTTTCAAAGCAATTTAAGATGCCACGGGTATCAGCTATTCGGTTAATAAATTAGATGGATATCATTAAATCAATTGGTTATACTGTTTAAAAACGTAGCTGGAATAATGGTTTTCATTAAAAAATGTTGAGTGTGTCGATTTAAAAATAAAATAAACATTGTTAGTCTAAGCATGTCAACTGTTTTTGTTTTTACTTCAAACCGTTTGCTTTGTAGTATTATACATTACGTGAGAATCGATTATCAAACAATCATCATAATCGTCAATAGCTTTTAAAAGGCCACTGCTGGACATAGGCCTCTCCTTAAATCCTTTTTAAGGAGTACTATACCACGCTGGCCAGACGGGTTGGGTTGGGTCGAGTTTTCATTCTCTTTGCGGTGCTGTTGTCCTGCGTAGTTTGCTTGCTTAGTCGGCTCTTACGACACCCACGGGATGAATAGGGGTGGTGACACTCCGTATTCTTAATCCGTCACCACAAGGATAATTACTGCTAAAACGAAACGAAACAATTTATAGAAATTATTTTTATGGAGATGTTTTATGTCGCACGACGTTGACGATGAATGGTGAGTGTCCTCCTTGTTCCTAGCTCTATATTGAGTAGTCTGTAATATGGTTGACTACTAATCTAAAAATTCTATCAGATGTATAAGTTGTTTTGTTCAAATTTGTTGATTTAATACCGCTATTAACATCACGTAACGCAGCGAAACGTAACTTAAAGTAACATACGAGTAGCCTACTACAATGGAACGTCTCGTAACGTATCTTAACTTGATAAGTATAAAAACATCTCTTAAAAGACTTTTTGTTATGTATTGTGTGTGCATGTCATTCACTTCTAATTTTGTTTAAAACAATTAGTTAAATTCAATCTGAAATATTCTAAACCTCTACAAACAAAATTATATCTACACAATAATCCATACAAATAAATAATATTGAAGTGCGTGTCTGTAATGTCAAAACAAACGTTTTTTTTTTTCATACTCACACGGTTATTTTCACGATACCTATGTCTAATATACCTATGTCCGTCTGTCCGTTTGGATGTTAAAACGGTTGGACCGATTTTGATAATATTTTACTGCCATTTAAGCTGTCTATATAAGAAATAACTTAGGCTAATTTTCTCACTAAAGCCCTCTAAAATTTTGCCCGGTTCGGAAATCGAACCCGGGGCCGCATGGACTGCAGTCGTACTACACCACTAAGGCAGCGCTTTTTAAATCACAAACGAAGTCGCAGGTACCAGCTAGTCAATATTATAATCAAACTAACATGTCTAAGAAACACGTTTCAAGTCAGTCAAAGCAAGACTACTAAGGGAATCAAAAACAAAGTATTCACTTGGGGCATTAGATATAAATATAAGTTGTCATCACAAATTACAGATTTTTAAATAATCCCAATCACGATCATTCATATTTATGTTTTATACAAAAATATTAAATTCCTTTAGAATCACAGTTAGGATTGTGACACACTGGACGCATGGGGACAAACAGCGAATATGTTCGTATTTTTTTACAACTTTATGCACTTGTGTACATCTGCAGACTTAATGCCTTGGGCATTCTCTACCAGCCAACCTTTAGATAGGTAGAAATCTGGTGAGTTAGGTGCACTGAAGTTACAGTTGTTATAGTAAGTGTAAAGTTAAAACATATACAATTACCCACATACAAAGACACTTATACATACATTAAAATACACATAAATACATTTACTTTATATTAGTGAATAGGGAGGTGTGCTATTGAACAGGTAATGCCGCCAACACAAAAGTAGTACCTTCATTTATATATGCAAGTACCTAATAGTAATCAGTAATATTTATCTTTTTAGTTTTAATTAGTAAATAGTCCATTTACATAAAATCATTGAATCAGTATGTCTAAACTATGATTTTTAAAATGAACATAAAAGAAATAACTTATCGAAATTGGTAGAAAATTTTGGTCGTTCCAGAAATCTAATTCCAGAATGTTCGATTTATTAAGATAACATTTTATATACTACTTTTAACTTACAACGCGTAAAGTTAAGTCAACATTATCTACAGTTCCATGCTAAAAGATTGATTTAACTCTAATCCACATGTAACAGTTCCAATTGCCTTTCTCCCAGTACACCTCAAACCTCACTGCACTCCACTCCAGTCCGCATTTAGACGACGGTTATAAATTTTAAATATTACGATAGGGCATTAAGATTTGAATAAACATGTCGTGTTGTCGCCGCGCGCGTGACACCACCGCCCGACATTATTGCAGCGGGCTGTTACATACAGAACGGGGGTATGAGAATGAGTCATTTGAGTGGTAGGATCGAGTGAATATGACAAGAGATGGACTGGACAACGAGAGTATATTCTTTCTTTATTCTAGGAGTATATTCTGTGTCGCTACAAACATACAGTCACAAAGAAAATCCCGGCTCAGAACGACAATTTGTCGATCGTGAATCCGTCCGGTTTACCGTGAGAGAGCCATGCTTAGGCTCGAATGGGCCGGCTCGACCGGAGTGATACCACGGCCCCACAGAAAACCGGTGTTAAGCAATTCTTTCGTTGCCTTTCACTGAGTGAGTGAGGTAACCGGAGCCCAAACCAAGCAGGGACTCCAAGGGCAGCAACGCACTTGTGACTTTTGAGTTGCAGGTGTCCATGGGCGGCGGTAGTTGCTTACCATCAGGTGACCTGTCTGCTCGTTTGCCCTTTTATACCATAAAAAAGACACACACAAAGTGTTGTCCTATGTGGGGATCAATCCACTCAACGCATTAGGAAGCGACGAGGTTACCTCTTAAAATACTACGCAATCCGTGCAATGAACAAAGGCAGCTACCAAAGATCAAGGATGGATCTAGGAAGACCAAGGATGGATGTAGATTGGGGGAAGAGCTAGATTCGACGGGCCTGTTGGTCTAGTGGTTAGTGACCCTGACTGCTAAGCCAGAGGTCGTGGGTTCGATTCCCATCCAGGATAATTAATTCGGTGACAAGGGAGATTAGTTGTTCTGTGTTTGGGTGTAATTTATATACTAGTATAATATGAATGTATTTAGAAGTATATAAGTATGTTTATCAGCAGTCTTGTTAGCGTAGCTCAGGTCCTGCCTAGTTTGAGTTTAGTCTATGTGTGAGATGTGTGTGCTTTACTAACATATGTGTAACAAACTACTTAGGACAACAGCACTGCAAAATCTTTCGCGTCTTAACAAAAACAATAGGTACCCAACATATTACGGTTTTCCGTGTCAGAGGTCCGTTCGTATTTCAACCGGAACGGACGAGGCACGGAGTTGTCTCAATGGTCACCCAACCATAGACTCACCTAGCTAGTATTGCTTAACTTGGTTACCACTTAGCCACAAGCCCCTCAATAATCATTATTAATTATTATTATAAATAATATTCACGGAAGTAATTAAATTAATACCGTCATTTAGATCACAAATAATACGAATGAAAAAACTTAAAAATTGTATTAAGGAAATGATTATGCAACCTCGATACGATTACATCTAAGATGTTTGGAATACATACATGGCTTGTATGTTTCTCAAATCATCAGAGGATAGTTGTAAAATAAATCAATTTTTGACATATTTATACCAACAATGAGTATTGCATGTTAACTCTGACGTCGTCATATTAATTGATACTATAATTAAGAAACAAACAAATAATCAATGGTATTCAAAAACAGGAAACTATGTTAAACATAGAAAAATATACAGGCAAAAGTTATTCTGAAGGTTTCGTTTCATTTATCCTTCGATCGATCGCCTTAATTCTCGTGTTAATATTTGTACATCATGAAAATCGTCAGTTTAAAATTTGGTATAAGTAAACAGTTCTGAAAATCAGTATACATCACGAAATGTTTTGAAACAACAATATACGTATATCGGTGGATAGCAGACAAAAGCGGGCATCTTGTGGTATAGCACGGCGGAGATTTATTTGAACGATATCATTGAATGCAATGCGCGTGTGTGCGAATGCGCCCGTGTGAACTGCTCTTGTGTCGCGATATTGTAGGGGTGGCAAGAGAGTCGGGGCACCAGGGACTTCATTTCTAGGATATACCTGGTTCCCCGGCTATTAGTACCCGAGACGGCGTGCGGTTTTAGTCGATTCGAGTCCGACATGCCACCGATAGGTGGTATCCGAGGGGATTTCCGCACGGAAAAAAAAGGGGGTGGCAAGAGAAAAAATATACCACCATTTGTTTCAATAGCACTTAATGTAAAATCACTAGAGAGTTAAAACATTTAGACTACTGAGTTTAAGACAGTCAAACAACCTTTTACATAACCATATACATACTTTTACTTAAGGCGTAATACGAACCACTAAAAAGATAGGTCTGTGACCTCGATATACAATTACAGTTAAACTTACAGGTACATTTAATGATAGTTAAGTAATTACCTCTAGTTATCATACACTGCTTAGTAGCAGTGTCTTTATTTATAACGATACGAACGAGCGATAAATATGATAGGTAACTTGCGCGTTAGTAAAATATATAGTGAGTTATGCGACAACCCTATAATCATGAGAACAGTAAGCGATAGAGCACACAAGCGAAGGCGACCGCGACCGCGACCACAAATCGCGAGCGACAGCCAACAGGTAGCAGGTCGCACGCATTGTTTCCTGGAACCGAAACTACGAGACGCTATCGAAACGATTGATATACGATCAGACTTCGGAATGTTTTAGTAAAATGCACCAGCTTTCCGTTTTAACCTCTGAATATCTAATAGGGGCCCGATTTAGAATAATTTATGGACAACGACTGAGACAAAAACAGAACACTATGGGACCAGCACGGGTCAGAGATTGGCCGTCCGAATGTCTGCCGATTTCGTAAGAATCGTTCGCGAGCGACCATTTATCTGTCAACTGGCGCGAGCTGCGCAACGATGACGTATCTGCGTTTTGTAAGTGAACGCAAGTTAGTTTATCGGCAACCTGTCCATGGAATATCGACGAGAAATGCGCTCAGTACGCGGAGCATTAACAACGGCCTCTTACCCATACAAAATCATAATAGCTGGTAAGGAAACGACGATTGAGAGCGATCATTAATTACAGGCACCTAACAAGCGGCGAGCGGGGAAAGGCGACGTCGACGATTTATCCACGAGATCGACTCGTTACTTAGATCGGTTGCGGCGCGCGACGATAGATGGCGTGCTGCGGCGCGGGCGCATATCAGATGCACGACTGGCGCAAGCGACGCCGCCGCCGTGCGCTATCGACCGATTTACTGACTGTACCAGTGCGATCATATTAGAGAATTTGTGGCTATCTAAGTAACGTTTAGGATATGAGTGTACGAGTGATATACAACAGTCAGAAGTTCCGACAATAGCCATACCAGCACTAAACAATTTCTGTTTGGTCACAAGATAGATAGGCTATGGGAGACAGTCCAGATTTATGAGTCCACAGGTCTAAGATGTAATCATATTAATTCCTTTTGTCTTTAACTTATCCGGGATAGAAAATGTTATTGTATGTATTATTACTTAGAGTATATTATGCACTTGCTTTTTGAAGATCATTCCAATCACTCTACGACAAATTTTAACATAAAATTTCAGTAGGCAACTACTTTATTTTTGTATCAGTTACAAGAAAACAACGACGAACTACAAATTAAAAAAATCACATAATGCAAAACGTTCGTAAAACAAAATAAAAACCGTCGCACACGCACCTCTGCTGCGACACGCGCGGTTGCGTTGTCGCGCACTCGCCGTCCGCTTAATTAGGCGACTCCAGAGATGGAATTCATTAAACCCGCTAATTAAATAAAAGGACATGATTTTCCGGTTAAGGTAGGCGAAAGTGAATGTAGGTGCATTCTAATACATGATTAATTAAGAAATGCCAATAGACCTAAAAAGTAAGTAATGCCCGTTCTAATTAAAGTTAAATCTCGAGCGATATTTTTCTCAACAGTTCGTTGTATGCGTAACAAGGTATAGTCAGAACAAAGATACATTGTTTAGTAATTTACTAGCCAAAACATAGTGAATATAGTGTATTATTTGGCTCCTAATATTTGAGGATATTTGAGACCTTTACTTGTAAAATCAAAACATAAGTGCATGTGTGTGTGTCGATACGTTTTCTACGTTTAATATGATATCTTTAGCACACACATAAAACAGCACGTATGGCGTAATGGTTTAAGTGATCACCTCGCCGCTGCCTACTAAGCTGAGTGTTGTGGGTTCGATCCCCACATGGGACAACACATTGTATGAGCTACAAATTGTTGTTCTGAATCCGGGTGTTCTTTGAGTCCGTTTCATGAATGTTCGAAAAGTCCCCCGCGACACAGGATATTTTCCTAATCCGGGAGTTTTTTTTAAAGAAAAGAACGATGTCTAAAGGCATGGGTAACTACTATGGGTATACTATAGTTTGACGGTTAACCATCAAACTATAGTACAATATATAACAATACTAACCTATTTATTTGTTACTATACTAATAAAAATACACTCAATTTAAGTAAAGTCAAAATGAAAAAATTGTCTTTAAACTTTGATCACGTAACTACCGTTTCTTTAACATTTATCGTCTCAAACTCCATTTCAGTTCATTCTGAATGATTGATAACACACCTGATAGATAGTTCGCATGATACACGACGTAGCGAGAAAATTGCATCCATTCCACACTTACCTGAAAAAGATAAACAATATTTATATTCCAGTTCTGTTTTGACGGGACTAGTAATAGATGTTTAAAGGATGTTTAGACTTATACACAAACCGAAAATTGATTAGAAAAATAAACTGAGTAGAGTATTTTTAACATTATTAAGTCTTCTTCATAACTTTAAATAATACACTCACATCACATCAACAGCCTATAATACTCCACTGCTGGACATAGGCCTCTGCTTAGAAAGGAGGTCTTGGCCTACTATACCACGCTGGCCAGACGGGTTGGTACAGGGTTTGTTTCAAGTTTTCCTTCTCTTTGCAGTGCTGTTGTCCTGCGTAATTGGCTGCCTTAGTCGGCTCTTACGACACCCACTTGATGAATAGGGGTGGTGACTTTCCGTATTCTTAATCCGTCACCACACGGACACTCACATACTAAAAGTTTTTTTTAATAATTCAACCTGGTGTGATGGTGAATGTCCTTCTTGGCGTTATGAAAATAAAACATAAATGGGAATTACAGTTTATATGAAAGAAATTCTGTGTAGACGAAGTTGCGAACGAGTATGTAAACTGTTGACATATACAGGGTTTTTTTTAATTGGGACTAATCCCACCCATACGCCCACCACTGTAACTCCTGTACACCAGGATCCACAGTAGTGACCCACCAACACACCAAGTTATAACACTCGGGAAGGCCCAGGAAGAATTAAACTGTCTTGGAACCCGCAATGAAATTAATGAGAAGAAAATTGAAGGAGATGGAAATACAGTAAATCCACTGGTTAAGTCGAGCTAGATGCTTTAGGAGGTTGTAGTAGCCATTATTACGAGTATTAATAGATTTCACGATGACATACCATATCCCATACTATAACCATTTATAAGATATTGGACTTTTAAGATAATTTTTTAAAATTGCCGAATTGTGCCTAAATTTATCTTTTTATAACTTACATTTTCATTTTTTTCTATTTTTTTTGTGTTTTTGTGTAGTTGATATGTTGTTTTTCAATTTTTAGTTAAATAGGAAAGTCGAAATATATGGTTAATAATAGCAAAATGTTTTTTTCTCTGACGAATATTTAAAAAAAAACTGTGATAGTTAAGTTGCAGATTTTTTCAAAAACATGTATGTATTGTCATCTAGAAACAAGACATAATAGTCTAGGATAGTATCAGAATTCATAGAAAAAAAACTTAGATGATACAACCTGGTAGTGCCTAGTTGAAAACTTGGTATGTATTTTTGGGATATGGTATTTCATAGCAAAATCTATCAGAAATGATGGCTATTACGTAACGTCGACTTAACCAGTAACCCTGTATATTTACAAAAATAATGATTAATTCCTGAAAAAATAAGGACTAATTATTTTATTTCACACGCATAATGTGTAAAATTATAAAATATGCAAAGAAGTGACCGTTACTAATTACTCATATTAATTAACGTCTGTTAACTTATTTCAAACTGTTTTTTTTTTTTGGTTTACCAAAATAAAATACGCTACAAAAATCATTCCATTGTTAAAAAATACACACACGACGTAACATTGTAAAACTCATTTCCTCGATAACTTCCAAATCCGTATAATAAATTTCAAAATACTATTATAATTACATGCTCGTTCGCTTTCCCTTATGAATAAGTAAGCCGTGTCGCGTACCGTGACAGTTGTCACGTGACGCGCACGTCATGCGTCACACGTCACGATCGACGCGTCACGTTGTGACGACGCGTTGAGTCGCGTTCGCGACTGACGTGACATATGATCGTGTGTGACAGGCTTTAGAAAATATCACATAATAACATAATTTCATTAATATATTTATCTATTTAACTCCTTGGTTTTGAAGTGCAGTTAGTAATAACTATCTAAGGAATACTATAATTATGTTGGTTTAATTTAAACAAATTCCTAGTTTATTTGCTAAGAGTATCAAAATCACAAAAATAATAACACTGAGACATATCACAGTACATTCTAGGCCCAAATTTAGTATAACTTGTATACTAGAGCTACAAAACTTGATGAAACTATGAATAAAATATATCATTACAAAATATATTATTCATTTGCTCACATTCTTATAAATAAATATTTGCAACGAGCTATTACCAGCAGGTTCGCTAGCTTGGTTTTTTCTTATTTCGTGTTTCTAACTTTCAAAATGACGAACTTAGATACAACCATTCATCCTTTATGTTGCCCCCTTAGAGGTGAAATTTCTAAAAATCTTTTTTTGGTGGATGCTTACAAGATAAAAGGCATCAGCTGAAAAAAATTCGAGTCTCTATCCACCGCGGGTTAGGCTATACATTGATAAATCAGACACTAAGTGGTCAAGTAATTTCATAGGTCGAAATAGATCTCGCGACACTAATTTTCTTGTAACATCTAGGTAATAGTAGATTTTAGAAAAGTAAATATTTTATATTTTTTAAAAAGACAACTCCCTAGGAATAAATCACGGAAAAAAAAGGACTTTAAAAACACACATGAAACGGACACATAGAACACCCAGACTAAGAACAACAATTTGTGAATTACACAAAGTGTTGTTCCATGTGGGGTTTGAACCCACAACACTCGGCGTAATAGTAAGCGGCGTGGCGACCGCTTAAACCACTACGCCATCAAAGAACTGTGTACTTTATGGTGTAAATATATGCACAGAGAGCAAACTTGTGTGACTGAAACAATGGGCAGACGGGACATTCCTATGGTAATGCGCAGACTGTCGACTAAGCGGACTGCAGTACTCAGGACCAAGACTGCACATTATATACAATGAAAAACTTAATACATAAATGCTAAACCAGATATTCTTTTTTATATAATTCTGTATTCTGTGGGCGATGATATAAAAATCTTTCATTTAGTAAGTTTATATTTCGTTAAAGTTTATGTTGGTATATGCTATAAACATTATGACTATTAGACGTGCTAGCATTGATTTTATAACAAATCTTTTAATTAACGCCATACATAATTTGTTGTAAAAGTGATTCAGAAAGAAATGTTTGGTTTTTGTTAATTGTTCGTGAGGGTTATAGACTTTAAACTTCCGAGATTCCGTAAAATTGAAGAAGAGAAAGTGAAAACGTTTAGTATGATTACACTGATGACCATGCACTTTACAAGTCTAGTTTACAACTCTACTTCAATGTAAAATAATGTAAAAGACAGTTTGGTTTCCTTTCTGTTTCTCTTTTAAGTCGAAATTCTGACTTAAAACATATATTTTCAAAGAGAAGATTTGTAATATAAAATAAGTTCACATTTGTAAACTCACGTTAGTACTAAACCGTTTCAAAACAAAAAGTTAGCAAAAACTGAATTAATCAGAACTAAAATACGATAGCCAAACGAAACTAAGAAACTTTTGGAGCATATAAAGGGAAGCCAAGACTTTACGAGAGTTGGCCACAGTTAAATCTACTAAACAGTCGCGGGACAAAGCGGGTGCACGTCACGAGAGGTAGCGGTTTGCTGAGTAAACATTTATAAAGTGCATGTAAACGTGCAGGCCAGGTGGAGTGACGATTTGCGCAAGATGGCTGGCAGGAGCTGGATGCGAGAAACCCAAAATCGATCTAAGTGGCGTGCAATGGGAGAGGCCTATGTC